GCATAAATACACATTAGGTATATGAGTGTTTTTCAACTATGCAATGAGAGGGGTAGGACCATATAAGTATGCATAATTTGGTTGTATTTATTGTCTCAACTCTTTATTACCCACCTGTATGCGGGTGCCTACTTGTTTGTCATTCCTATTTTGCAAATATGAGAACTCACCATTGCATTAACTGATGATTTTTTCTCCTTTTTGGGTGCATTCTGCTGGAGTAAATTCCTGCCAATCATGCAATGTTTTTTTCTTTTGGCTGAAATGCAATGTATTTTGTGTTTGGTCTTTTCTGAGATGCAAAATCAAATAATCCAAAAAAGATGTTCTTTAAAATACTGAACTTTTCACTGAGATGTTTAGTATGTTCTTCCTTTTCAAAAAAAATTGCCCCAAAATTTACTTCTCAGGCTACTTGTAAATTTGTAGGTCAAGCAGAAGACACTTATCATATGGGGTGAGGATGACCAGATTATTAGCAACAAGCTTGCAGTGGTTAGCATTTCTTAAACTTTTGCTTGGTGAAGGCATTAGCATGCCACAGTATAGAGAAGCAGCGAACTTTATCATGTTTTACATGCTTGAGAAATCCCTTCTAGAGACCTGAAAATTGATCTTTAGAGATTCAATTTATTGCTTAAATTTTAAATGAACTTTCTACTGGACATTGGTCTCTTGAGCTGGAAACATTAGTTTTCTTGTATTTTATGTTTTCAAATTTTATTTTGCAGAGATTGGATTGTGAACTGCCAAATGCAACTAAACGCCAAGTAGCAGATTGTGGCCACCTTCCTCATGTAGAAAAGCCAAAATCTGTTGCAAGATTAATCTCAGAATTTGTTAGGGATTGTTGCCACGAAGACACTTGTTGCATTTAATTAAATAAAATTTCTTATTCCATTTTCTGTTTAATCATACTTTTGGGTGTTTGTTTATGCTTGGGCTAAGCCAAAATCTCTCTATACCTCTCTTCCCCCTCTTTTTCTCTTTTTGGTGAGAGCTGTAATTTGACGATCAAACTGTCGCGAATATATCAATTAAATTGATTTACTTTTTTTACTCGAATCAAAATTTCAATTTGATGACTAAATGATTGAAAATGCTGTAAGGTATAATATCATGGAAGATTGTATGTTATCAATTATGATATGACATTAATTAAATACGATGTGATATTAAACGAGTAAATATATATAATATTTTAAATCGATTTTTAAATTAAATAAGTTAATTATATAATAACATATTATATTATGCACTTATAGTATCATGTGATATTATAATTATAGTATTTTTGCTAAGTATTTTTCATCTTTTCAATTCCTACACAAGTCATTAATATTGGTTTGGAACATTAATCCAATATATGATTTCACAATTGGAAAAAGGTTAATATATGGAGGGATAATTGTTGAAATATTCCTATTCCTATTTAAGAATCAGGGAATTAATTCGTGTTCGATGATGGATTATGATGTTGGTACCCAGCACCTAATATTAATTTAAGCATGATCTTGTTTGATTTATGCTAAGAATGATTGTTTACACTTTGCTTACAAATTGAAGAATTTTCTCCACTTTTCTGAAAATGCGTGTTTGAACGCGGGACTTGTCGAACAAAACACGGAGCTTTAAAGCAAATATAGTCGTTGAACTGTTTGGGCCATCTAAGGCCGGCTCAACCTGCTCTACTGCTTGCTTAAATGTTCTGTTCTCAAGATTATTAGCTCCCTAAGTGTGTATGCTTAATATTCTTGATGAGTTGTTCATGCTCTGGATCTCCCACTTGCTCAACCTTTGTTTCAGGATATACTCATTATTCTTTTACTTGACTTTTGATTAATGGAACTTTTAGATTTTTTATTTCTAAGGTACATAAAAGTTTAGGGTCAATGCCAATAGGATTACTGGAAACAAGAACTGAATCTAAGCTTGAAAGTTGAATAGTTCAAATCTTACCAATTAAGCCAATCTTTTTGCACAAAATCCTTTTTTT